GATGTCAACTAAAATGAGACCTGCGCCATTCTCTTAACCGTTCTTTGCACTATTCAACAACAAACTTGAATCCAAAAATTTGGGACAATTTTTTTGAAAATTTAACAAATATCCCAGAGGCTTCATGTAAATTGCCCCCCAAATTTAAAGTAACGGTTTCAAATTCCAGAGTCCGCGACAGCAGCTAGAACTGTTTTGAGAAAATCGGCAGAAGGTTTATGCGCCAGGATTGTGCACAGACGGACGGACAGACGTTTTACCGTCATTCGATTTTTCGGTGTGAAGGACGCACAAAACGTGGATTCTAGATGCACCGCATGTTAGAGGAATGCCAATGGCGCCGGAGGGTTCCCGGCCTCAGCGGCTCTCAGAGCGGAGGCAGCGGCGTCCCTGGCTCGCGCGCGCGTCGCCCCCCAAGGCTGAGGGCCAGTGATGGCAAACAACATCGATTCTTTAAAACGGGAATTGTAAATAATAATTAGAAACCACTCTAGATAAAATCATAAATACAGCCGTCATCATATAGTATTAATTTGTTTTCCATTGACCACTCTTGTGTTGCAACAGCTACGATCTGCAATCCAAATCCTAACAATCGTGTTGATGTCTCCGATTAAAACTGGCGAGCTAATTCGCGACCAGCCACATTCTAGGTGGCCCAACCTCGCAGTGGCCTCTGTAAATCGCTTATAATCTTGTGAATGCGAGTTCGTTAACGGGTACTCCATTTACGTCTCCAATTTCTCGAACACCACGGGATCCATGCAAGCCTCTCTCATTATTTTCCTCTTTATCCTTATCCTTCCGATTTATCCTCTTTCTCCTTACCAGGGCCCGGCAATAAGAGTTTTTGTGTCGAAAATTAGCCGTTTTCCGGCGAACATTTGCAATACTTTTTCTTGCATTAGAAAGTGCGAGAAAGTAAAACGTGCGCGGAGAATAAATGTACATGTGGCATGATGTAACTAAAAAAGATTGTTATGTTCATGTAATGTGAGTAATAATCCCCCGAAAAAATTAAAGAGCCGAACCAATAGGAAATAAAATTGAAAAAAGAAAAAGAAGCAGAAGACGACGTTGAGGAAGACGACGAAGAAGAAGAAAAAGAAGACGGCGAAGGAGAATAAGAACAAGAAGACGGCGAAGAAGAAGAAGAAGAAGAAGAAGAAGAAGAAGAAGAAGAAGAAGAAGAAATAATTACTACTGTTCCTGGCACAGGTGCTTCGTTTGAATTGGACTTATGCGAGTTATAGCCGAGTGTTTAGTATGGCACAAATTACATTTCAAAATCACGTAACCAATTGCGTTTCCTATAATGCAAGAAAGAATGAGCTATTGTATAACCACTACTTTACATTTGTAGTATGCTAAGGCCAAACATTTGATTTTCGTGTTAAATATTTTGTTGTTCCTTTAGTCAGCTAGTGTCAAAATAACGTTTTTAGACAGCCACTACGAAAAGCGTCTCTTTCAGTGCATATCTAGCGTGCTAAAGAAACAATTTTAGCACTAGGGCTTTCTTGCCAAAGTGAATCGATGCTCAAATGTTCAGATAAATCTGTGAATGCTACAAAAAATACTGAATATTTTTGTCCAACTGCCAGGACAAAAACTACAAAAAAGACAAACTGCAAAAAAGGGACATAAGGAACAAAAGGACAGAAAATAAAATAGCCAAAAAAGACAGCAAGGAACTAGTGGTGCTAAAACATAATGTACTTTCTTGCCTTTATAGTTATGTAATACTAATATTATTTTCACCACAATTTACGAATCAACATATCTTTGTCATCACGTATATATATATATATATATATATATATATATATATATATATATATATATATATATATATATACAAAAACAATTCGGGTAAGTTTCACCATTTATAACTCAATAACGGCTGGACCAATTTTAATTCTCTTTCATTTGCTGGATTTATCTCCGCCCCAATAGCAGAATAACTACTAAAATATCGGACAAATTCCCGAAAAAAGGAACAAAGGACAAAACTAAATGTGCATGTCAAATGCAACCCTGCAACACACTGCATGCTTTCACTGTATCATTAAATAACCCATAAACGAAGCGTTTTACATTAAAAACCAAAATTTTTAGGCCAAAGGCCTTTGGCTTTTGGAGCCGATTTTGAGAAAATGGCGATTGAGCGTTTCTGATGACGAGAAATTTTGAGCTTGTTTGGAAAGAAAGCGGTTGAGTTTTCGAGAACCCTTGCCTGACATTATTTAAAGCACATGTACTAATAAGTATAATAATGTAAACAAACTGTCGCTAATATAAATATTAACGAGTGAGAGACAAGTTAAAAAAAATATATTACTGTGTTTTTTGAAAAAACAACAACAAAACGATGAGATGCCCCTTTGTTTTTCTTCTGGACGTAAATGTAGCTTCACTATGCGCACGTTTTTTTGAACTCTCCTTTTGCTTGTAAAGAGTAGAGGAAAGGGTGAGTTGCTATTTTGTTAGCAATGCAGAAAAATCATACTTGCAATTCGTGCACCGATGCAAATAAGTTTTCTATAATCAGAAACGAAAATGACTGTTTTTAAAATATTGATAATCGTGCGATTTTTAAAATTTATTTTTATTTATGTTAAACTTTTACTCATTTTTTACCTATTTATAGTTAAAATGACGAGAAAGGATTCTGGAACTCAAGAAAACGTGCGCAGATAATCTTTTCCCCCCTACATCACATACGGTTTTTACTGAATTTTTGACTGAATGAATCTAATCTAATAGATCAATATGAAGTTTATGCCATCGTACAGAGTGCTTTTATCACTATCCCCACCAATAGTTTAAATCAAAAATGGGCCGCTTTTAAGAAAATCTTGTTCTTGTATTTTTTTAATTGCACATATTGATAACAAATAAATATTGATTGCACGTAAAGTAATATTGCGCTAAAACTACGAAAAGTTTCAAAAAAATGTACATGACCTTGATGAAAGGACTCACTCTGGAGAATAAATTTTATTTGAAGGGAAAATCTCTACCTTCGATTTTCTAGTCGTAGAAATAGTTGTTGAAATTTGAAATTTTCGAAAATTTAGAGATAACTATGAAAATTGTACCTATTTCACGTATATAAGTGTACGTTACACCATCCTTACAAGAAATTTAACAAAAAAATAGGAGCCGTTTCTTAGAAAAGTTTTGAAGTGTCTGGAGGGCTTCATATAAAGAACCCCCAAATTTTAAAGAATGTTTTTCAAAATCTTAAAGCTTCGAGCCAAATGGACAGGGGTTTCTTCACATTGGCAAACATTCTACGTATGGTTCAGACGCTAGTAGTGTTCACAGACAGACGGACAAACAGACGAACACACAGACGGAAGTTTTTTGTGGGCTTTCTACAATTATAAAATTAAATATTGTAATTTTTCATTGAAATGAAATTTGTTGTCTATAATTTATTCTCTTATTAAGGTCGTGGACATTTCGTTGAACATTTTATTAGTTTTCGCGCAATATTGCGTGCAATTTGTAATTAAAAAATTACAAAAAGATTTTCTCAAAAACGGCTTTTTTTCTTTAAACTTTTCATGATGATTGTGCTAAATGCACTCTATAATGTGATATAAACTCAATATATTGCTCTATTCTTTTGTTTTTCAAAAAATATTTTTTATGTTGCCTCTCACGACGTTAATATTTATATTAGTGACTATTTGTTTACATTATTGTATTTATGAGTATCTGTGCTCTAAATAAAGTCCTACAAAGTTTTTCGAAAACTCAATCGTTTTCTGTTAAAACTAGCTCAAAAACGTCTCATTATCACAAATGCTTAAACGCCATTTTCTAAAAAAAAAAAAAAAAACGGCTACAAGGTTTTTTCTGCAAACTTTTCTAAAGGATAGTGGTAATTGCACTCTTTAATATGTCGTAAAGTTCACTTAGGGTAATTTTTTTGTTTTTTAAAAAAATTACCCAAATATACTTTTTTTGAAAGGTCTTTCATTCTGGTAATATGCACATTTTCAGTCATTTATAAACATTATAATATTTGTGAGCTGAAGTGCTTCAAATGATGTTTTTCAATAACTTAAAAATTTTCTGTGAAAAAGTGCTTCAAATTTCGAATTGACTATAGCGATTAAGCGCCATTTCTTATACATGGCTCCAAATTTTTCAAAGACAATTGTCATTGAAGACAATGTTTTATTCTTTAATTTTCTTAAAATAATATTTCCGTTCTATTATTAGGAAAGAGAAAAATTAAGAAAATTGCAAAAAAAAAAAAAAAAATTGTAGTACTTTGGGTGGCGATAAATCGCAGCAGGCAAGAGTATGTGGCAAGTTCGAATAGCTAGCCGAAACCAAAGGAAATAGAAACTTAATGGGGGAAAAGCTGTGCCATTCTGCAGCATCATTAGTCTTTATCTTTTTTTGTGTGTGTGCGAGAGATTTGACAAGCAGCAGGTATCAACCCGAGTCAGCTGCTTGTTGATGGCAAGGTTGCCAGATTGGCGAAGTGTCCCCCATTTTTTTTTTCGTTGCGGGTAAAGGATGGGGAACATAAATGGACGAGGAAATGTTTGGGGATTTTGTGAGGAAATTATTTTCATCTGTAGTCGAGATAGAAATATTATTTTCTCAAGTATTATGATTAAAAAAGAAACAATATACATTCTTTCATTTCTATGTATCAAAAAGGAAAAAAAAATAAATGACAGGCTCAGGGTAAGAAAAACATTAAAAAAAGAAAATAATATATCTTTAGAACTCAAAGGATGCTCAAAGGATGCAACTCAAAGGATGATGTTTGGTTGCTTTGAAGTAATTGAATATAAAGGGACAGTCAAGCGAATGGTCAGGGACACCTCATTTCGTTGGTCCTTAATTGGGAGAATATTTTTTATTTCAAAATTTTGGGAATTTTGTTTCATTGGATAGGTTATTTAGGGAAATTCCGTAGAAGTGTTGGGGGGGGGGGGAAGCTCGCTACACATCTGGCAACGCTGGTTGATGGGTGCCAGCAAAAGCTCTATAACGCGTTTGCTCCTCTTGAGTGCGCAGGTATACTCTCTGGAGTGCTCTTGATATACTCTCTGGAGTGCGCAGCCCAGAGAATACTAGAACACTAATATATAGCCGACACCGGAGATGGCCAGCGTTACCAGTGTGACGAGAGTGGTCCAGTGAAATTACATTACGGGGTTGGAGGCAAATGACATTCGTGGTACAGTTTTTCAACATACTATTGAAAAGCGACAATATGTAATCTGTTTTGTTTATTTCCTATTTCCTGTTATCACAAAGACAATTTGTGAATAAAATAGTGGAATGAACGTCGCCAATATATTAAAAAAAAAAAACACGAAAAATTGCTTGATTGATCATAGCAATTTCTGATAGTACCTTGAAAGTGAAAAATAAATGGTAAATATTCACTATTTGGTTGATACTGATTTAGAGACACTGCAATGGGATTGCTCGCATTTGGCGAATATCACACTCGACTGTGTGACCTTGAGTTCATTAGTGATGGTTATTGAGTAAATTGTGTGCGTCATTGAAGGAACAGTCTTGTAAGCATCCTTTTCGTGCCGGCGCCTGCATCGGTTCTATTGACGTATCTTGAAGTAGATCCAGGTTTGTTAACTAGGACGTGGCATTTCATGAACAGGTAAACATTGTCATGATTGTTATGAAGATAAATATTAATTTGTAGATTTTAAGATGTTACATGTTAAAAATTTAAAGTAAATGATTCTTATTTGACCGCAGAAGGCAGTGCCGGGCCATATATTTTTAGTTTTTCATAATCAACTTCAGTGAGGATAAAATCTTGAAGCTTCTTTTTTCCCCAGCACAAACCAATAATTTATAAATAGAGTTACATAGTTCAAGTGTTTTCTTTCATCTACAAAGAAGTAAACAACCTACAAAGGTGTGATGTTTTTTTCTTAAAATGGGATAATATGATAAACACAATGACTGCGAGTTCAAAGTTTTGAATGTAGAATGATCTGTGTCTGTAAGAATTACAATTGCATGGACATTAAATGTTTGATGAATCATTTATTTTTCTTTTACTCCTTATCTTCAGTGACGGTTCTTAGATTATTAAATTACGTGTGGGAGCATTAAAATTGTATTTAACTTTAATTTCTTGATTGATACATGATGTTAGCTTTTATTTAATGTAATGTCCTTGTTCATATCTTGTTTAGGATAAAAATGACAGCCTTGCTTTTTTAAAAAAAAATTTAAGGATTGAAATTCCAGTTTCTTTTAGATTTATTGAACTCAGTTAAATTGGGTGAAATAGAAACACATTTTTGGACAAATTTTTGTGTGTGTATAGAAACTTAATTTACATGAACATAACATGTTAAAAAATATTGTTATCATTGTGTATAATTTTTATTTTATATGACCTGAAACTAATTGCTTATTTTGAAATTTTAAAAAGTAAAAAGATGGATTTGTTTGATTTAAACAATTTTCTTGGAAATCAGAATCTTGGTAATGTTAAGTATTTTTTCAAAATCTTGAATGAATGATCTTGACAGGTGGTGGAGTGACAGAATAGGAGATGAGGCAGGGGTAGGTTGAATGACATAACAAGATAGACATGCTAGGTAAAATCTTCTACCAAACACATCACTTTAATCAAGGTATGTTGTGAATTAACAGAGTCAAGTTTTATGTTATTTCAATGCCAGCTTTTCATTCTGTATCAAAACTTGGATATACAAGCACTGCTGCATCGCTTTCCATTTCTGAATGAAAGTTATCCATTGGTACAAGATATGGTTTATATGTTAGTGTGATCACTCAGGAAAGTTCATTCATGAAATGTGGTGTGCTTGTGACTATCTTGCTTTTTATCAGCTTTGAGAAAGCATGCATCAATGTGATGGTATATAAATTATTTTCCACATTCTGCAATGATATTTTTATTTACGTTGTAATATAAATCTCTATATTTTGAGCATAAGATTTTGTTTACTCATGATTCTTATCACATCACCTTGAAGAGCATTCTTTCCCAAACAGTGCTTCCTTATTCACCTGGCTGTAGTGATTGAAGGATTTTCTTTTGCTACTACATATGTTTTTGTAGCAAATAGGCTTTTTTAGAGTAGGAATGATATTTAGTACATTGTTTATAGAATTATTTTATGATGTATAATTTTTCAATTTTTATAAATAATGTAAATATTAATAACAGTAATATTTTGATGTACATTATCTTTTGAAAGTCACTACTATTCAGTTAAATAATATTAAAATATGATTTACTGTTAATGTTTCACTTTTGCTGGAGGCTCAGTCATTTTCTGATTTGATTCTTGTATTAAATTAACACAACACAAAAAAATATGGATAGATTAATGGTCCTACAAAAGAAACGTATCAGAATCATTTTCAAACTGAATCCGAGAGTCCTGTACAGATTTCTTTACCAAAGATGTATTACTGACTATTGTCAGTAATGTTGTAGTCAGTAATGTCTACTCATTGTCATTGTCTACTCATTACTACTATTGAGAAATAATCAGAATATCTTGTGAGTAATAAAGAGATACATAACTATCACACACAAGAAAATAGGGACTGTAACAGAATACACACTAGGAAGTCTTCAACTAACAAAGATCCTTTCTGGATTACTGCACAGCTTTTTAATAATCTCCCAATTACCATAACATCAGCTGATAATAAATTCTTAATAACATTGCTTAAACATCACCTTATTCATGTGTGTTTACATAAGATATATGAATTCCTTTAACCTTTCTGTAATTATTGAACATGTACTACAAGTCTGACCACTCTTTGTACCAGTCATCAGTTCAATAATGCAATTAACTGATAGTAATGTAATAAATAATGTAATTTTTTTTCATGATATTGTAAGCCCTTGCATGTTTTATTAATCATGTAATTTATCAAGTAAACTATCTGAATTTTACTAGTATAAGTTAATGTAATTGAATTTCATTCCTGTTATAACTTAATTTCATTAAATGTTTATTTTTATCAATTACATATACTTTTAACATGTAATTTATCAAATTAATGTAAACTTATGCAATTATTGCTGTAAGTTAATATAGTTAAAAAAATGTATTTTTTATTAAGTTCTAGACAACTTTTGCTTGATACATTTGTACTTATATAAGCAATAAAATATTATTATAATTATAATAATAATTTCTATCCATTCAAACAATTTAAATATTGAAATGGAACAATACTTGGAATTGAAAAAAAACTCTACTGTAATGTATTAAGTTCACTTGTTATCTTGCTCGAGATACCCTATATTGCTCAATAATGTTGCATAAGCATTTCAAGGTTATGTACCAACTAGCATGTATTTTCAAGCAGTTGATTTTGCATCAATGTTGTCAGCTGCAACAGAATCATTATTGCCAATTATGCCATATTATTTGAAGAATGTCGTATTATGTGTAAAATTTAATAGTGAGAAAAATACCACACAAAAAGTCCTGTGGTATTGTCTTAAAGGCTTCCACTGATTGTGTTCCACTAAAATATCAGCTTAAGTTCATTCTCTGAACAAAGCTTCTTTGCTCTTTCATACATTTAAAAAAATTATAATTTCTACGTTGCTTTTGATCAAATAGTAAATTTTTTTCTTATTTTTTATTTCAAAGTTTTGTATCTGGATAAAGGTGAATGCTAATTATTAAATTACCTTTAGATCGTGATGGCAACAGAAAATGATGTTCGAACTATTTGGAAAATGGCTGATGCTGTATGTTTTGATGTTGATTCTACTGTCATCCAAGAAGAAGCCATAGATGAATTAGCAAAGTTTTGTGGCAAAGGTGAACAGGTTAAAAAAATGTGAGTTAATACTTTCTTTTGATTAAAAACATGAGTTTTGAAGATGACTGATATAATTTTAAAAATTTTTTAGGACACAGGAAGCTATGAATGGAAACATGGACTTCAGAGAATCATTTAGGAGACGTTTGGAAATAATACGTCCTCAGATGTCTCAAATAAGAGATTTTATTAAGACAAAACCTCCCAGACTAACTCCTGGAATTAAGTGCGTTGTAAAGTTCTGTTTTAATAAGTAGCATTTGATAGTTCACATTAATTAATTAGGTCTTACTTATAAATTATGTTTGCTTATTGTAGGAAACTTGTTGAAGCTCTTCATCAGAGAAGTGTTCCAGTATACTTAATATCAGGAGGATTAAGGGGAATTATCACACCAGTAGCACTGGAACTTAATATTCCTTTGCAAAATATATATGCCAACAGATTAAAATTCTATTTTAATGGTAAATTTGAAGGATTATTACTATCAAAACTTCCAATGTATTGACATGAAATTCACAATATCCTCTTTTTCCAGGAGAATTTGCAGGATTTGATGAAAGTGAACCAACTTCCAGAAATGGAGGTAAAGGAGAAGTTATCAAGATGCTTAAGACCAAATATGGCTATTCCAATGTTGTGTTGATTGGAGATGGAGCAACAGATTTAGAAGCATCACCACCTGCTGAGGCTTTTATAGGTAAGAAATTCATTTTGGATTTTGCAGTAGTGCATTTCAATAGTAACAGAAAATAATTTAGTTCTACCATGATGCAGAAAATAGAAATGTTGGATACATAGTGTGTCAGCTACATATATTCTTAAGTAAAGACTTTTCATCAATTCATTATTTCAATTGAAACGTTCCATAGATTTTAGGTGGATGAAGTGTTTGACGTATTCTTCTAAGTATTACATTTTATATAATGGTTTTGTCAAGTGTAGGTCTCCATAGACAATTCGGTATTATGTGTAATCTCAACCACCAAATACAATAAGTTTTTATTTGTAGTTAGGTACATGTAGACCTTTTCAATCGCAATCATTATACTTTATATTTGTGTGCTTTTTTCTGTTTTCATCAGCTGTATATTTTCCTGTAATTTACCCTTGGGTAAAATCAGTTTTGATCAGTTGTAGATTTAATTACTACAGATATATGGCATACTGCTCTCAGAACCACCTGCAGGCGAAAATTGCCCTGCTGACAATTGACTTTTTTTTGGAAATAAAAATAATAAATGAATATTTAAGATTAAAAATGTTATTTAAATTCTATTGCAGGTATATACTTGCTTTTGCTCGCACTGTATTACTTTTAAAATTACTTGCTTAATTAACTTAAGGCTTGCAATATTTCTGTGGATTTCAGTCAATAGCAAGTATGAATTTACTCTACAAGTCAGCCAGTCTAACTATTCATGAAAAAATTATCACCATCTCAGAAAAGATAATTATTGCTGTATATTTTGTTTACCATGAAACCTTGTATAATTTTGCTGTTTATGAAGACAATTTCATGAACGAAGTCATTTCTTTTTTTATGAAATTTCATTATTACAAAAATCTTAGTCAATTTCCCTTCCTCAATTTTGGAAATTCTCCATTCACTTTACAACTTGTTAATTTATTAATATTTAAAAGCAGCAGTAAGGTATTACTTACAACAATTGCATACATGTTTTTCATTTGCAGGGTATGGAGGAAATGTGATTCGAGAGGAAGTTAAATCTCGTTCAAAATGGTTTATCACAGATTTTCAAGAATTAATAAATGCTTTATAAATGGCATATAATCATTAGCTTCAGTAATGACTGTGATACAGATACTAACGTTTAAAAATGGCTTATTGTTAGTTAAACAAATAAAGTTCTTTAATTTATCCATATCTTTATACAAAAAAAAATTGTTTCATATTGTGTAATGCTAAGAATATCAGTACTGAAAAAAGATGTTTCAGGAGTAGTGCTGCAAATAATTAACAAAGGTGAATATTATTAAAGATTTTATTTATAATTCTTTACAATGTCAGTCTCATTAGTAATTGCAATCTACACTCATTTTTCACACCTATTGCATCTTACAATATTTGCAATATTAAACATTCATTCAAAGCTATATAAATACAAATGCATTCTGAATGCTTCTGTGTGTGTCAAAATCTTCACTAGAATACAAGTAACACATTAATGAACAATGAATCAGTGAAATCCTTTTGGTTTTACCAAACATTTAAAATGTAATGATAAAACGTCAAAAGTGCTGAAGATGGTAAAAAAAATCATATTTCAGAACTTTGTTTTTTCAATTGCAAATTATTTACAATTCTTTATACAATACATTAAATTCATGAACTGGATTGGTATTACTTTAGACTAGTGGTGCTCACCCCTGTCTACAGACCTGAGGTGAAAATAAAATGATCCTCTTTACCCAATGAAATGTAATTAATTGAATACTTATTCAAGTGTAAACTTAACCCATTGCATCAATTGACAAAATTATCAAATATGTTATAGAGCATACGAGACTTTTTACATTCTATTTCATATATCACTGTTTTAATGTAAAACATTTAGGAGTAAATAATGAATCATTAAGTAATGACTGAAATAAGATTTACCTATTGTTTGAAGAAGAACACTTGTTATTGATGCATATGGATAAAATAGTATACTATATTTTCCATTAAATTTATATGGTTGTACAAACCCAGTCCTTTCTAATATCACAAACCAAAAATTAATTACTTTTGATTTCTTTCTTACATATCTTCAATATAAACAATAATTACTTTAAGTTGGCTAGTCCTATCAGATAATTTCAATTTGTGACGAAAATTTAAAACAAAATTTTTAATAATCAACATGTATAATGTCAACCACTTCAATCTAAATACTTTTTAGAATCCTATATTTAAATGGTTTCTTCTTTAACAATTTCAAAAAGCATTTTCTCTAATTTATGGAATTTTATAAAAATAGCTGAATCCCAGTACTCTCTATACTGTTTAAACTGCAAAGTGCTTAACAAAACATTGATACAAATGGTCACACCTGGAATAAACTTTCAATCCTATTTTCAATACATGCAAAAAATATTAATTCTCCTTACTTCAAAAATTGATCTAAAAATACAAATATTAGTATATATTATATAATTACAGATAAAAGTTGGCTGTCTTAATATTCAATCATTAGAATTTTTTTAAATATTTGTATGAGAATTGGAAGACTATGAGCCATGAAGAATTGTATAACTCCTCACATTTTTCTTATTTTGTGATCTCTGGAATAGACATTTTATAACTACACAGGTGTTAATCATTTTTATGTTCATCACGCCAATCTTCAGTTTCATGAAGGAGTAATTGCGTCAATTTAGTATCACTTCGTCTTTTCAAAAAGTCGGTATTAAGAACCCGTAAAAATAGAACAGCGTTCATAGCAAAAAGGGTTGGTAATGCTGTAAATGAAGAATGAAGCTTGTTAATCTTTAAAATGTCAAGATTCTTTTATATTATTACTATTTTTGAAAGAGAGAAAAACTTACTCGTCATCCCAAAAATATAAGCAACAGTTGTCAGTTTGTGTCTGAGCTCAAAAACCCATTTACATAAAATTCCAATAGTCATCAGTCTAAAAACTACAAATGTTCCTGAAAAGATTGTCAGATAAGTCAAAAGATTATTAATTCAAGCATATTTCCAAAAAATCAGAATTTTAAACTAACCAACGTTAAGAGCACTATTAATTCGATAAAGTCCATTTTGTCGATTTATGTTTTGAAGATGCATTAGTTGGCGAGCATGCAGAAAGACACTGTTCACTTCTACCAGTAGACCAAATATACAAAATCCCAGTAAAGATCGAGTACTTATGGCAAGTCCAAAACACAGAATAACCTGGAAAATGTAATTGTGTATGTGTATTCTTATTCTCCAAAGAGAAAGTTCTATCAATACACACTTACAAGAATGTGATGGACCATCAGTTCATAGCTACTTCTTTTCCGATGTCCAAGAACCATGTCAATAAGATCGTATGTAAAATAGCCTGTGTAAATGTAGTGCACATAATTAATAGGAAAAAACTGTAAAAAAACTTTATATGTCATGTGTTTACATTTCATACCTGCTGAAACAGATAAAGCTGCATGTGCTGAATATGCATACTCTGATATAAGATCTTGTCTTATTTCTGGAATTTGCCAAACACTAGGCAGGGAAAGAATAAGGAATATTAAAAAACATGATAATTGGGATGAAAAAAAAAACCAGCATTGTTTTCTTTACCAAAGAAATGACCAGATGCCACTGATTGTAGAATGCAGCAAGGAGTTAGCAGTATTTCTCCACTTCCATCTCTGATGCACATCTTCAGAGGCACTTTGAGGTGTTAGGTACCGGAGCATGAAATTAAGGGCAAAAAATGCCAAAGTGCTAGAACTTCCCCACCAGTAGCACAGATTTTCATCTTGAATTTTAAGTGAATGCATTGCATGCCTTGTTGAGATAAACTTCCAGTTTTTTGGTCGTGGCTAGTGAACTGTTACTGAATGACCTGTATGTAGATAAGGTAACAAGGAATGATAAGTTCAGGTTTTATCCCTTAATCCTGACTTCCGACAATTAGGTATTCCAAGGGTTTACCTTTCAAAAAAATGTCAATAATAAATACTTCAATACAATGCATTTCATAAACTACCTAATTTCCTGCTCATAAACCGCTCCAAACTTTTGGCATCACCTACAATAGCAACACAAGTACATTTGTGACAATGACCTCATGACCACGAGAATTTTGCTTGTATTATTTCTCTACTACAAAACGTCCCTAATAACGTTAAATTGGGTTTAAATCTACATTATAACAGCAACAACAATACAAAGTAATAACTAGTTTTGTTGCATCGTATCTTCTCTGTGAAAAATTTGACATGTGCAAACTCTACGATTTATATTAAGATTTATTTAACCATGCACTTGACGTAAATTGGATGTTCACAGTTCTATCCAATTGGAAGCTTGAACGTTCCCAAAGTGACGTCATTTAAGCTTTCGATTGGATGAAATCGCAACAGCTGCTTTACGTCAAAAGCACATTGCTTAATATCGTACTATAGTCAACTGCATTCTCGGGGGGAAATTTCGAGTTTCAAGAGTTGGTGTTGGTGACGTTTTAGACATCCTTGTATGCGTCACCTGCGTGATATGACCAAAGTGAAAACATGTTTTGTAATGAGAGGTTAGAAATCAAGTGAAAGGATTGCATTGCGACGTCATTTCGACAATTGTCGATTTTATTTAGTGTAGTTCGAATAGTTTAGAAGATTGCAACAGTTTGTGCATCGTCTTCGTTTTTGACGTGAGCTTATGACGTTGGCGGCTGTTTTAACATGTAACGCTCCTGCTCGGTTGTTTAACAACTGAAAAGAAAGATACTTGTGTGTTACTCAGGTTGACATCCCCTATTTATATAAATACGATGAGAGACAATTTAGAGAACAACCCATTCTCTGCACTCTTTCCCTCTGTTAATGACACGGAAAAATTCACACGAATAATTCAGTCGTCAGGTCAGATTCCATTGGGCACTTCGAATGTAGTTGCACGAAACAAATCTGTACAAGAGGCTTCTAGTGTGAGTCCTGAAGTGAAATGTGACTCAGAAATAGATGAAATTGTTAAAAGAGTTTTTCATCTAACTCTTAAAAACGAGCCAATACCTAGTTGTCAACTTGTGTACCTGGAAGATTTAGCTACCGCACTTGCCCCTGAAGATAGTATTGATATAAATAATCTTGGACAGGCACTGTTTGAAAGATTGTTACTTGAGGATCCAAGTAAACATCTTGTGATTCACCCTCCTCAAGAATCTTCTCACTTGGATGGGCATGTAATTCAGAAGAATGTTATTACCTACTTATTTGAATGCTATAAAAGATTGTATGAACGAAAAAGTTCGGCAAAAAACAAAGATCTTCCATGTATTGATCAAGGCATTGGATTGATTTATCAAAATGCTGCAACTGCATTACGACAGTGTGAACTTTTTGAAAATCAGAGCTTGCATTTGCAAATTTTAGAATTGTTTGCAGATGAAAATGTCACAAATCATAATCTTTCTTACTTTTTTGAAGGAATTATAAAAGAATTTATTAAAGAAGATGGTGAAATTGAAGTTATAAATTCATTGTTGAATGCATTTCAATTGACTCTTGATGTCATTCACAAAGATTTTGCCTCAAGATCATTATTGTCTTACAATGGATCGTATTTCAGGTTTCTCCATTTGTTTTCTGCTAACAAGTATTTAGGTCAGGTACTTTTGAAACACAGTGCTCCAAAGAATCCTCAATTAGGAAATTCTTTTGCTGATACATTGATTGGTGCTATTTTATGCTTGTCATGTTTACCGAAATCACAAAATGGTCTCTTTGAATATTTTGATAAACCTCTTCAGCAAACACCATCAATTGTTGAAGGAAATATATGGTCATCCACTCAAAACATTTGTGAAAATCTACATAAAATATTTTATAATTTATTAAAGTGCTCCAGTGAAGTACGTCACCAAACTTTGAACTGGATTGGTGAATGTCTACATTCAAATGCTGCCCGAGGCAAAATCTGGAGTTCACATGTTTTCCATATTGGATCACCAGCTTGTGTTTCAGATGGGTTTATATTAAATCTTTCTTCTGTGTTGTTGCATCTTTGTCAACCCTTTTGTAGTGATCTGAAAGACGTGAAGCTTTTAAAAATTGATCCTACATATTGTGCTGTTAATGTGAATAGTGATGAAGAATCACGGAAGAAAGGAGTACACTTGAAGAAAATAGCAACTGAGACTTGTCTCATTCCAGCCCCTGAAAATCTTTCAAGACCCACAGCAGATTGTTATGGGTTTGTCAGTGAATGTTTTTTTCTGGCTCATCGGGCTTTAGATCTTGGATTTAGAGTAATATTTGAACGACTTATGAGGCTTAATCAAGACCTTGCTCGCATGCAGAGAGCTTTTAATGATGCCCAAAGTCAAGCTGGTGCTCAATCAGAATTGGTTCAAGCTATTGGAGAGCGTATGGAGATGGAAATGTCAAGGTAAAGTACACTAGAAATCAGAGTTTTACGTTTTTTGAAAGTGCATGCAGCATCTTGTAACTACTTACTTAACAGTAGCAGGTACTACTACATATCTTCAAAATGTATGTGAAATTGAAAGTGAGGTTTGTTATGGCAATCTTAAAATTTGTGTATAAAGTAATTATGATTGTTGATTGGTCAACTGTATTTTGCATGATGTCATTTTTAAATTTACTTGCTATAATAATCATCTTGCATGTAATCCATCATAGTTATGAATTTCTAGTTTCTTGAAGCTGAATTACTAATTCCATCTGAGCTGGAAAAACTTATCTGTCTCGTATCAAGCATAACAGCCCTTTTCTTATGTCAACTGTCTTAAGTCTAATTGGAAATATTTAAACTTGGCTAAAATTGTTCACATGTGATTAGTTACAGTTGTTTCCTAGTTGAATTTTTGTTTTTATATTTGTCAAATAAAGAATTTGCAATTTGTGAATAATAATTTGAAAAGCCTATTGGAAACCAAGCCTAGCATATTATTGTTAATGTAATTACCAGTGCTCAGATTCTGATGAGCTAAAAATCTTTTGGAAATTACCTATAAAATTTCTTAAAAATGAGAGATATCCTAACATGACTCGAATAGGGAAAATGACTTAATTTTTCAAAAATACTAAAAAAAATTGTATAAAAATCGTTGTTCAAAGAATTTTACCATTGAAAAATAAAATTTATTTATATAAAATTATATTAAATATGAAGTTCTTATTTTAGAAAGAATTGTAATCCTTGGTTTCAATTTTCCAACTGTCAGTTTTGAAAGGTTGAGGAAGTTACCGAAGATTAGTGTAATTTAAAGAGTTTGAAAAAACAGAGTCCCCTGCAATAGTGAATTTTGTCATGAACTGATGATTCAATAAAAACTTTGTTTTGATGTATCATTGTAAATTCATGAAACATTCACTGACAAAAAACATGAAAAGGAAACATAATACATAAAAATGACAAAAATTAATGCAAGTGACCAAAAAATGACCCAATAGCTATACATTTCTATCATCTACATGTTGTGTAACACCTTCATTTACAGGTTAGCTACATCTAGAGTGCACCAATGAAAAGATGATATGTCATCAGAATATGAGCCCTGATAATAACTTTATTTACGCTGTTTAAAACAAATTATGAAACAGAAAATTAATCTCTCTCATTTTTAATTGAGGATCGAGGATCAGTTCTCTAGAAGTATTTTGCCTTTCCTTTGTTCCAAATAGCAAATAAATGTAGATGATTGAAAATTTTCTACCTTGCTGACATCTTAATTTTTTTCTCTACTTTATTTATTTTTATCGTAAATTTTGAAACAATATTTACAAGACTAATTGCGTACCACTTAATTGTTAATGGTGGGTGTAAAAGGGTGCTGTTTGTTGTTGGGTATGTTGCTAATTACAATGAACAGAGACAGGAACTGTGGATTTATTTTGTATTTTATAATTTGGCATTACAACTTTTTGTGATTTTGTAATGTTTGTGCCTGCAAATAAATTTACTTATTTTAGACCTCCTGTCACATTGTCACTTCATGCATTTCCAGCATTTATTAAACACAAAGTTTCATTGAATCTCAGTTATTGCTTCTTCATTAGCATCACCGTTACGTGTGGCAATATGGAAGAGCTCCCTTGCAGTGGATATCTTGTATTAAACTGGGGCAAACTCAGTAAAATATAATTGTTCTAAGAGTAAGAAATTTATTGTTAATATATGTAATTATACATTTGTACAGGTACTTAAGTTTCCGTGCTGCATTGCTTGAACCAACATCTTTGCAAATGATGTCACAACTTCATGTTGCAACAGCTGTGTGGTTGGTCCAAGTCACTCTCAATACCGATATTCAAGTTCCAATGAGTTCTTATGCACCTATGAAGTTCAAAGAGATGAGTTTTCCTTTGCCTGAAGAAATTCCCATCACTTTGAGGTAAAGTGATTATTATTATTAAATTTTATTGCTTTCTTTCTCATACACATTTTCATAATTCTCATGTTACAGGTTATTTGAATAAATTAATTACATTTAACATTTTTAACATTAAAAAAATATTCACTAAAACTTTGAATTAATTTAAAAACAGCTAGAAATGTTATAGGTTTCAATGTATATAATTTCGTATGCATTTTAATACATATAATGAATGTAGTGAATTATGTTGGTTTGTTCCATTTCTTTTTTTTTTTTTTTTTTAGTTGTATACCAGAATTCATAATTGAGAATACAGCCTGCTTTCTGAGTTTTGTTCGACGTTTTAATCCAAGAAATCTTGAAGAAGAAGGCTTCAATTTTCTTAACCCTCTACTAACTGAAGTTTTAGTGTTTATGGGTTCACCTCAACGCATGAAGAATCCTCATCTTCGAGCACGCATGGCTGAATGCCTCGAGTCATTATTGCCACATCACAATGAAGAGCAGCCAATGCTTAATCCAAATCCTTTAGGTTGTTATTTTAGAGAACGCTTGTTCAAGGAGCATCCGTTTAGAAAACAGGTTGGTGTTGCAAACATTTCATTTAACAACACTAGTCACAGTATTTAGTTTATATCTAAATATATATTATCAGCGTTTTATGAACCACTCAAATAGAAATATGTGCAAAATGAAAAGATCCCAACAAACTTTGCCGCTGAAGTGTTCTGACTGGGAAGGCCTAGCAATGGCAGAATTCAGGGAGAGCAAGAGGAGCCCCCCCCCCTGCTCACCCACTCTCAACCTTGGCAAACGTTTTTTAAAAGTATATTTCATTTTACGGATCTTCAAATTGATATTATAAAATATTTATTTATTTTGGCATTTTGAGAAGAAAATATA